AACTTCCGCATGACTGGCGGGAAAATTTCTATTTATCAAAGAACTGGCTACGGGATGATAATTGCCCAAGTACACATATTGTGTGTACATAATATATCTACACATATACATATGTACATCATCTGTGTGTGCATGTGAGATTGTTGATTTGCATTTATTAGATATACTATCTGTGCGCCACAGCGTCACAGCCATTTGCTAATGAGCATCCTCGTCTTGGGTAGCTCGTTGGCCAACCGAGACTTGTTGCCCGCATCTGGTTTGAAGTCTATAAATGTGTATACGTACGTACAGTACATATTCTAAGTATGCGTACTCTCAACGGACTGCGCCACCCACCGCAGCACAATCTGGTGCGGCCGGCCGCAGCAACTATTTGTGAAGGTCACGGCGCGGCTGGCGTCGCCGTGACTATGGCCGGTTTATAAATATATATAAAGAACCGCAGTTGCTTCTAAGTAATACATAAAAGATCTAACATTAGAAATACAATGCGGCAATGCGCCGTAGACATCAACGACATCAACGAGCGTCAGTCTTGTTGTCTGACCTTACAGCTTACTTTCTAAGGCCTCAAGGATGCCCTTTCTGCCTCCTTCCTTCCTGCTGTTCTTGAACAATCGACCGTTTTACATCTTGTCGATAAGTTAGCTGCCTTTCATAAGCTCACTTAGTGAAATCAAGCACACAATTTAGGTCTAATTAATTTGATTATCAGTTTAGTTTGAAGCTTGGCAACACGAGTTGCAAGATGCTCGTTAACGAAGTTTCCTTTTATATAATGTGATTAGACACGTCAGCTTGTTTCAAGTTGATACCAAATGTTCGCCATTAATTAAAGCACTTTGATTATGTAAAACATAATCACAGCTCGCACCGCTGTTGGCCTACAAAATTAAAAGCTAAATCAGTTAACTGTTAGCTAGGTCAGCCCTAAAGCCAACCATTGAACTTGGCTGGCACGTACCGGCGCTGCTTGGCCAGCAGACTTTAATACATAACTCGGCGCTGTTTATGCAAAAATTGTTCAAGTTGCTTTGCTTTTGTTGTCGGTGTCGGTGTCGGTGTCGGTGTCGGTGTCGGTGTTGCCTCAACTTGTACTATTAAATTGCATTATGTGATGTTTACTGTTAGTTGGAGTCGTTTAAAATGAAAACAAATGTCAAAGCGACAGGGAAGTAACATATAGACGTAAGTGTTTAAATTTGTATTTCAGGGAAGTGGAATTGGGAGAACAGGAAGGAGAAGCAAGTGGAATAGTGTTAGAGAGATACAAATATAGAAGAGTAGTCAGAGCGAGAGAGAGAGAGAGAGAGAGAGTGAGAGAGAGAGAGAGAGAGAGAGAGCGAGTTAGAGAGAGTGGGAGAGTGACATAGAGAGAGAGAGAGAGTGAGTTAGAGTAAAAGAGAGAGAGAGTGAGTTAGAGTAAAAGAGAGAGAGAGAGAGAGATAGAGGGAGAGTAAACTAAAAATATATAAGGATACAGAAGCCAATCGAAAAAGAAAGAGAGAGCGATACTATGAAAGAGGGAGAGAGAACGATAGTAAGAAAGAGGAAGAGAGAGTCAATTAGTAAGAGAGACAAATAAAGAAAATGCTATAGGAGATAGAGAAAGATGATGAAAGAGAGAGAGAGAGAGAGAGAGAGAGAGAGAGAGAGAGAGAGAGAGAGAGAGAGAAAGAGAGAGAGAGAGAGAGAGAGAGAGAGAGAGAGAGAGAGAGAGAGAGATAGTGAAACAGCAAATATCAAGTGATAAAGACATTGTAATTAAAGAGATGTTTAGAGAGAGAGGAAGATATGCAATGAAGTCAATTGATAAGACATGAGACAAATGTGCTCCCCTTGTATTTATAAAACTACCCTACTCTATTCCAGTAGACGGCAATCGGCTATATAACACTCACTCACATTTCAAAGCAAAACAAAATTACTAAATATTACTTTTTGCATTATCTAAATTATAGAAAACAAACAAAATTTGATTGATATGGCATTAAATATTAATAACAGTAAGTAATAAATTTCTGCTGCGGCTATATAATCTAGTGTCTGATCTTAATTAACTGGTATTATTTCGGTTTAATCCATTAGGTCAGCACATCGTGATAATTAACATTTCCAATTTCAGCTAATTACACGCCTCAATTCGAGGCGGACAGCTGTAGCTGTAGCTTAGGTGATATTTGTTCGCTGGAGTGAAACTTGTGTGTGATTCACTTAGTTGGGGCACTACACAAGCAAGTGTCGCAATTTTGTTGTTACTGATTTAGATAAGAACTTTAAACTGTTCTAATTGAGTAACTGAAATAGTGTCACATTTTTTTGTTGTTGTTTAGCACCTGTGTTATCGCATCAGAAAGAAATGTTTGAATTTACTTTTATTTCCAGTTATACAATATTCCACTAGCATTCTGTTGATGGGCTTGCAATTGCTTTTTAATTACAACGATTCTTATCAATGGGCATGTCACAGGCGGAGCGCACAAAAAATTAGCTTTAGATATTATCATTTGCATTTATTTTTTCACAATCAGGAATTTTTCGTTATCTGCACAGTGGCTAAATTAAATTAAATGCGGCATGATTTCTAAAACTGTTGAATAAGTGTTAGCTGATATGCAGCTTTATACTAATTCTATACTTCAGATAACCTACACCAAGCCAGAAGCGACGCTGCCTGACTCAGCATTGTAGAGAAAAGCTAGCTAGAGTAACTTGTCTGGCAGCTAAGTGGATGCCGTGATTAGTCTCTGATTTCTAAAAATGTAATAACAAAATATAAAGGGAAATAATAAACAAATGACAGTGCAATGAATTTGCGTTTTCCTAGCAAGTCATTAGCGACAGGTAAAAAAAGGTTGTTTGTGTGTGCTCAACTGGCGAAATCTTGACTAACGGAAATATATTAACAGGTAAGACAAATGAGCAACAACATAGATTATTCTGCATTTTGGCTAAAGGAAAATCGAGAGGAATAGAGATCCATAAAATATGCGTTTAAGGACTAAATACTCTATATTTATTTTTTTTAATTTATAGGAATAAATATTTCATTCTTTACTTAAAACATATCTTAATCCGGCTTGAGCCGCATCAATACAGAAATATAGTAATAAATTTATTTGTAATCTGTCTTATATTAAACAATTAACAGTAACAAATTGTAAATAAGATTACAATATATTATTTACAAACTGAACTTTAATTCTGTCATCAATATTTGTATCCCTTTACTTCAATCGTTTGCTATGCGAAATTCTCGGTAATAAAATGATTTATTGATATTCTGTTAGACCTATATGTATATATCTATATACACAAACATCTGGACAACACCTGGCCCTATTGATTATTTGAGTTTCTTATCTGTTAAGCCATGAGCAGCTCATAATCAGGTGCACAGCAACAAATCATAAATACCTCTATGATTGCCCAGCTAGTTGAGCCCATGCGAATCTGGTACTGATTACACACACGCACACACACACACACACTTCGATAATATGTTGAAATCATCAGAATGAACTGCATGACGAATAAATTCGTCAGGCTGCTACGTGATATCGTACTTTGTTAGCTCCGTTATGATTCAGAGTCCCGAGCTCCTTATTTGGATACAGTATTTTTTTTTTTTTTTTTTTTTTACTTTGTATTGGTTTTTTGCGTTTTTTGTTTCGTACCATTGATAATAAAACAAAAAGAACAATAACAAATACTTCCTGTGAATAGCTGGAATGCAATCAGTAGCAACAATTGTCAATATGTCTCTCTCCTTTCAGTGGTTCTATTATCTAGAAAATTGCATTAAGCAATGCGCGCCCACACAGTCTCGACTGTGGCCACGACGTCTGGCCGCCCAGACAATTATCTCAACAAAGGCGGAACTAAAGGGTATCCGCTGTTGCATATTTCATGACATAATCTGCCATATAAAGTCCATACATATATGGTATATACATTCTTAATCAACTGCAGTCAATGTAAAGCCTTGGCCGGGGCCAGCACGTAATTGAGCCCAGGTCAATTTACTTCAATTTGTCAATAAATAATAATAATATAATAATATAATAATAATAATAATAATAATAATAATAATAATTTACTATAAAACCCTGAATTTATATATATAATATCAAATCTCCCGTTGGCATAAAAGTGTTAAAAATTGTCAATAAAAATTCTTGCTTATCAAAGATTTCTTTATACCCAGCCCATTAATCTAGTTTGCGGATTGATCTCTTTTCCATCATCTCGATATATGCAAAATTCGTATTGTCATTTAGATAAGCGAAAACATATCGAAAACAAAATTCATAGAAAGCAATATTGCTTTGTATCTTCGAGTCCGGACCAGTTCGGCAATTATCTATCTGACAGTTATTCAATACATGAGCTTTGCTGCCAACCGGTTCGCCCAGTTGGTCTATTAGCGCAATTGGTTTGAGCCACATTCTTGCAAAAAAAAAAAAAAAAAAAGCGCCAACTGCTGTTGTTCTGCCGAATGATGCTGCAGTTTCTCAGCCTCTCCAGTTGGCCATTGGCTTTTGGCCATTTGGTCGTATAACTGATGTCACGTTTTCGATGTTTATGAGTGGGGGCCATTGGCCACTGGTCAAACCATGCGGCCATGCGGGTGTTTTGCTCGTCATCTACTTGGCGATAAATCAGTGTCATAAGCTCGCTTAGGTACGTGCTCTCCTCTAAACCTTGACCTCAGGTAGTAAAGCTCCATTATATACGTCTAGAAAAATACGTGAGTATGTCGATAACTGCTCTATGAGACAAAAAAAAGTTGGGCGAGATGCAAGCTGCTCGAATAGAAACACCTACAGAGTATCTAGCTATATGAGCTGAAGACCACAAATGGTCAAGCTCTCTTGAGTGTAGGCATCTGTGTGGGCCTCAACTCAAATATGGCTAAAAACGAGCTTACATTTTATAATAGAAACTTCTGTGGTCAAGAGAGCTTAAACCATAAATTTTGTAATGGAATTATTAATTTTACTTATACTTAATTATTGAAAAATTTTATTTGAAAAAAAAAAAATTTTTTTTTAAATATGTTTTTTTTTTTTTAATTATTTAGCCAATTAAAAATCCATTGGGTGGTTGGTGTTACTCCAGTCAACAGAAAGCCGAAGTCTTTGCAGACAGCTTAGAGGAAAGATTTAAGCCATTTAATCTCACTTCCGATAGGACCAGAAGAGACGTTGAGCTAAGTTTGGAGACGCCCTTTCAGATGTCACTGCCTGCAACTCCAGTCACTCTCCAAGAGATTGTGCAGCAAATCAAAAAACTGAAAACCAAAAAATCTCCTGGAGAGGACTTGCTGGATAATAGAACTTTAAAACTACTGCCCAAAAAAGCGTTATTGTTTATTGTCCTAATACTCAACAGCATGCTTAGACTGAGATACTTCCCAACCTGCTGGAAAATGGCGTTGATCACGATGGTACCCAAACCTGGAAAAAACCACACGGAAGTTGAGGGATTCCGTCCAATCAGCTTACTTTCGGCGCTAGGGAAGATGGCAGAGAGAGTGATCCTGGATCGTATCATAAAGCTCGAGCCTGTAAAGCAAAAAATACCGAATTGGCAGTTCGGATTTAGACAAGGGCACGGCACGCCGGAACAACT